TTCTGAGGTCTGTCTTATCAGGTAAATTACTGTACACAGTGTATTCATTAATTTTCATTTTCATGTAGTAAAGGCTCTATGCCTTCATAAAGGACGTACTTTTCCTTTGTTTAAGGGTATTTGGGCAGTTTATTCTCTGTTATATTTTCAAGTAAACAATACATACAAATACAGTACAGTATTTTCTGAGGAAACACTCGTACTTATTTTTTTTAACCCCATTCCCGATAACCCGGCATTTTCACAAACTCGGCCACCCTTCGGTCCACATTAGGCCGAGTTTTCGAGGTTCTACTGTATTTGAAAATATTTAAGTATAAAACGTTGAAATGTGTCCATGTTTTAAATATATTGTAATTAAATGCTATCAAAATATACTTCTTAATAATGATTAATGTTCTGTAATGGATATTCTCTAAAAAGCAAAATTTCTTATTAATTGCAAATAAATAAATTCACTTTTTACGTATTAATAACTTTCAATTTTATCTTAATTTTCACTTTTAATCTCATAATTTTATGTTTAAAATCTTTTATGTTGTTCTTATTAATGCATTTTCCAGTAACATAGGTAATATTTTGAATGTTTGACATTTCTAGTGTATCACATTATACTGGCTTCAGTCAAGCTTGTTTGGTTTGGCACAAAACTTGTTTTTGCAAGTTCCCAGAGTACGTCGCATGTTTAGAATACCTCGGACTCCGAGCGAAAGTCAAACTCCTTTTCAAGATATGGCAGAAGAATTAAAAAATAAGTTTAAATTTATAAATTAAGAACAAGGATATTTATGTTGTTATTAACGTAAATATTTTAATAAAATGTTATTTATAATTTTTATTGTTATTAAGAAATGTATTTAGTCAAATTACATGTCCCAGATTGAAATTGAACCAAACAATTCATAAATTATATTAAATTAATTTACTTCAATATAAAGTCAATTTCCATACAAATAAATAATTACAAATTGTATTTTCATAGTTACAAATCCGCATAAATAATAATTTCAATTTCATAAAATATATAAATTTTTCAGTTAAAACATACAGAAGGAACATACACATTCTTTTATTTATTATTTATTTTCATCTAGAAACAGTTCAATTCAGATGATGTAAATATCATAATTTCATTAATAAATAAAATTTATTTTTAAATTTGGCAATTTACAAATTTTTAAATTGGGCAATTTACTATTATCAATCCATCAACAGTAAGCTAATTTTTAAGATGGTCTATTAAATAATTTGAAAGTATTCAAGTAGATTGCTAATTAAATGATATTAATTAAACATGCAAATATTTATTTCAGCTAAACTGAATGCATAGGAACTGGAAAGAATAGTGTAATCAAAATTATTTCTCACAAAAATGGGAGAAAACATTTGTAAGTTTAATTAATATCAATAATATCACATAATTAGCAGTTATTGGAATAAATCCTAGGTTATTTAATTAAGATTGATTTGTGTTGATAGATTGATATAATTTAAGTACTTGAACTGCAAAAAAAACTTGTAATTTACATACTCTAATTTATAATTTTATTACTACAGACCATTGACATATTAGTTTATGATAAGAAGTTTAAGAAAAAACAAATCAGTTTTGTAACAAAAAACAGCATTAAAAACAATCACTCAATAAAAAAGCTCTGTTATAACTTTCCTTGGATTTTGAATAGTCAATATTTATTTATTTTATTCAATTTATTTGCTGTATTATCTAATTAAAGAATGAAAAATGCACATTGAAAATATTTTACAAATTTACAAAAAATGTTTTAATTTTTGTCAATAAAAATAATTGTACAGTTTTAATAAGTTTTGATATAAAATTCTGTTAAATATACCATATCTGTTCAATAAGTCATTCTTTCTGATATTATATTAGTTATTCTTTAAATTACTAATGTTATTAATTCTGATATTGACTAACATATTAATATTATATACAAAAATAAGAATTAGTATTGCACTTAAAACATTTTTTATATTATTTTTTGTTGGACAGTAGAATATGTTAACAAATACAATATTTAAGAGCACCATGCTTATGCAGTAATTATTCAGATTTTAAATTATCTTTTACATTTCTAGATGCATTTTTTTCACAAATAATTAATTTTATAAATAGCTAAATTATATTTTTAATAATGATTAGTTTTTTGCCAACTAAAATATATTTACCATTATTCAAATTTTACTTCAGCAAGTTGGATTTATTTTAAAGCATTTCAAAAAATTATAACCTCACTGCATTAATCCTAGACTAAATAATTTAAAAAGGTTTCTATAATAAAGTTGTGCAGAAAGTGATTAGAAAGCATACTCTTAAACCTACTTATTTTATTAAATACTGTATGTCTGCAAAAAATTTGCATAATAACAGAAAATAATTCTTGCATTTGATAAAAAATTATANGTACAACTGTATGTGGCCTGCTTGCATGTCGGAAAACCTTCTGATTTATTCGTGTATGCACCAAACGGAAAAACAAAAAATATCGTGTATCCACAAGCACTCCAATAAATAAATAGAATTGAAACGACACTTTGAAATGTTTTTCCGATGAAAATGAATAATAATAATAAGTTTCAATAAAAATGATAAAATGTAAATTTAATTTTATCATAACAAGTTTGCTTGAATTTCGTTTCTTCTGAGATCGCAGCAATGCACGATGGGTAAGCTAGTTGTTATATAAATTAATTATAAAGTAAAATTATATTTAAGTAAAAAAAAATTCATACAACATTGTGTCTTACATTTATAATCAAATTTTTTGATTTTGTTAGGAGTCATATTTTGCAAATTGATTTGATTATAATCTAGTAATGAGTTGAAACATTTTTATTCAATATAGTAAAAGAAAAAATATTTAATTTATAAAAAAAAACAATCAGGTCTCTCTTCTTTTGTTCTTTAGGTTCATACTTTAAGAAAATTTAGACGGAATACAAAGTTGCAAAAGCTGACAACAAATCTTTTTCGTTGTTTTAGTATCATATTAATCCCTATTGCCATAACTATGCCTTCTGTAAGTATCCTTTCATTTATCATTAATTCTTTTTTTCACTTTTATACAAAATTTACAGAATACTGTATTATATAGAATCATTACCTTTTTAATTAAATATTTTAAAATAATTTCTCACTTACATATCTGAAAGGTTTTGAATAGATAACTAAAATTAGAAATGAGTAAAATTAAATTTATTATAGAAAAAATAAAGTTAATATAACAAATTTTAAAATTTTTCAGGTTTTAAAGATATAGCAAATGACAATTCTTATATAATATTTTTAATTGACAAAATACAGTTTCATTAAAAATTTCTAAATCCATTAAAACAAAGTAAAATCTGCATCATGTTAAAAATTAACTTAGCAGTTAAACATCAAACTGTATTATAAATTTTAAATAATACAGAATAATTCAGAAAATAATAATTTGTTTGATGTACAATTAATGTTAACATTTGAGTTTTTCTAAAAAAAAAATTGAACAATAGTTAAAGTTTTTCTAAAAATATCTTAAAATAAAAGATTTTAAAAGTGACTTCTCTTTCGATTTTAGAGGTTCCTCTGAAACCTCTAAAATCAACTTAGGAAGAGAAGCCACTTGCAAATGTTTTAAAATCTTTTATTTTAAAATAGTTTTAGAAAAACTTTATACATTAGCTGATGCCATTGAGTAATTTTTTAAACTTTGAACAATAGTTAGGCATATCTTACATTATAATATAATAAAATAAAAATATTGAATTGTACTAAAGAATTGTTTACATAATGTATTAAATTAATTCCAATAATGGTTTCAGTTCATGATTGTAATGTGTCAAATACATGTTTTCCAATAAATATCTTATTTTTAGATTAATTTCTAATTGACTCATTATTTTGTCATTTTTTATTAAAGTGGTATTAAAAATTTGGAACAGGTTATGTAAAATTCAAAATAATATGTAGAGCAAAAAAAAACATTGTAAAAAGTTTTGAATTTGTTCATACACACACTGTAGTTTCAAAGCTGATGAACTTTAAAAGACCAAACTTTGTAAAAGTAAAATTTCCAGCTTGGAGGACTTTTTGGCAAGTAAATGCCAAGATGTAAAAGTTAAATGTTGTTAAATATGGAAATTGTTTCTTTTACATCACATAAATTAAATAAATAATTACCAATAAAATTATTATTATTATACTCTGTGGCAATCTAAATAATACTTCCACGATTGCAGTACTGTAAGATAGTCAGAGTTAATGCAATCTCCCTTTATGCCCATTATATAAATTTCTACAGCCTCTAATGAACATAAGTCATGCCGGTCAAAAACCCTATGTATAAAAGTAGTCTCATCCCAACAGGGAGAAACCCCGGGTTTGGTAGCATACCAGGCAAGTGCTGTATTATAATTTCCCTTGCCACATCATATTTGTGGTTGCATATTCTGGCTTCAAGGGATCTGTACATGGATCTGATGTATGATATACATCTGTTGAATCATCCATCCTGCAATGGTACACCCCTGGTGCTTTCATGTCATCTGACTTGTCTTTTGCATTAGTCAGTTCTGTTTGGAACCATGATTTTGTGCATTAAGAGATTTCTTTCTCACTACTACACCTGATTTCCAGAATTTCTATTCCCAGATATAGCTTACACACCTAACTGTCTTCCTGTTTTTACTTTGATGGTCAAACTTATGTTCAAAAAAAGGGGCATGCCCTATATTGGGCGATCTGTGCGAACTCATCTTACAAAAGTTGGAAGAAAAGGCATTAGTAAACTTAAAATCCAATATCCTTAGTTATACATGGTATGTGGATGATATTTTGATTATATGGAAAACCAAACCTGATGTAGGGGAAGTGTTAAAAGTTTTTAACAACAACAGCTATGGACTAACACTAGAATTAGATCAGGAAAGTCACACGGAGGTTAATTACTTGGACATCAAGATTTGTATGGCAAATAGAATTATAACCACAAAGATTTAATACAAACCAACACACATTCCCCTCTTTATATCTGCAAACTCATCAGACTCTTGGCCTCTTAAGGTAGCAGCATTCCAGGCCCTACTTATAAGGGCTTACTCACATTGCTTGGAGACATCCAATACCTACAACAAACTGGAACGTATCAAGTGTATAGCATCTGCCCATGGGTACCGCCATTCCTTAATTAACATGCTTGCTGCCAAAAAACAATCTATGGTAGCTAACACCAGTACAGTCGTTAACAAGGCAGAGGGTAATCATGTTGTTATAAGTTACAAACCGTCCCTACATCAAATGTACAATAGAATCACTAAGGATTTAAACTTGCGCTTAACATATAACAGAAAACCAAATGTTTTCCAGCTTTTAACTAATGCAAAATACAAGTCGGATGACATGAAAATGCTAGGAGTGTACTGTATTCCATTACAGGATGGACAATTCAACAGCAATGTTCCCTCTAAGCTGTGCAGCCGCGCACTGCTCAAATTGTTGCCACGCACGAGAATTTATGTGCCGCGCAGGCGAGCATGCACACCGATTTGAATTGTTGTTTACTTATTTCTCAGTTTGTCTGCAACATGATTATTGCTACGTATATTTCGGTTAAACACGTTAAATCATTGACAAAGAGATAATAATTTGTATAAAAGTATGTTTTTAAATGAATTTTAATCTTTATTTTATAATTAATTATTTTAATTTTTATAGAAAAAAATAATATTTTATATATATATGCTCAGAAAATTTTTTTGCTCAGAATCTGCTCAGCAAAATTATTTTTTGCACAGAGAAGTACATGTTCCGCTCAGCTACAAAAAGAATTAGAGGGAACATTGCCTCTCCTTCTCGTGTCCCGAATACCTCTCTTCTTCTCCCGCGTTTTCTCTTCCGGATTTACGATACTTCTGTCAGCATGTGTGGGTGGGGCGCATCTGTTCCGACGAAACTGCAGGAGAGGAAGGTCGAGGAGGTCCG